TCTCTCTCTCTCTCTCTCTTTCTCTCTCATGTCATGTGAATTAAAAAATAAAATAATTATTTTTAATTTACTTTTCATTAACTCCACTATTGAGTGTAGACTTTGATATCAAATATTATTTAATGATATTGACGTTGAAATAGTAATGGTATACAAATTTTGCATTTATTAATACCAATAGTGTTTATAACATCTAACGATAATCGGGGTAATTAGTAGTTGTAGATATTGTACAATATCTGTACTGTTGTCAATCATCATGAGTTTAGTTTTGATGTGATATTTTTACATCTAGTTATTTTTTGTCACTGATATCTAATCATAACATTTATTTGTTTTTAGTTGTCGCTTATATATCACTTGATTAATAGTGGTATTGATTGACAAACACTAGACTACGGGTGCAAAATGTACAACACATATGCCCTATATTAGTGTCCCTACCTTTGGACAGCATCTGTAATATTATGCGAGAACTATTTGATCTACACAATTAGCTTAAATTACCATTGTTAATCAAAACATAGCTAGCTCATTAATTCAACTAACATAAAAATAGTTTTATAAACATATTATATTCCTAATTAACTTAATAAAAATACTAATCACGCACTTTGCACTATTTGGCACATTTATAGCTAACGCCGACGACATATACGACAACACAATGGAGGCCATTGTGTCGGACGGGTCGGTGACCATCACGTGGGCCGAACTCGATCGGACCAAGACCAACGGCCAGATCATATCGTACGACTTTCAATACCACGAACCAACTAAAAACGTTAGACACAATTAACCATGTTTATAAAATTAAACACTCGATAACTAATCCGATAATAATAATAACAATAACTTTTATTATTATTGCCCCAGAGGTCAGAGGCCATTCCGGGCGGTCGCGGGTGCCTAAATCACTGGGAATACATACTGGCCAACCGTAGTTTGACCCTGCACAATCTGACCCACGGCCTGAATTACTCGTACCGGCTGCGGGCCAACTCGATCCACGGGCCCGGCCAGTGGACAGATCATCATTACTTTTACATACCCAACGGTTGGTCACTAGAGAGTAATTACCGTTTTGTTTTATTATTTTTTCATTGAATGGTTTTTGCTAATTGTTTTGTATTTTTATCATTTTGCTTTATTTTTGTCACTCACTTCATCCCAACCGCTCACATATGCAACACATCCGCACGATTTGCTATTAATACATGCTTTGAATTAATAATAATCTTAATAATTAATAATTGTTAACCACTTATGAATAATTACAACTCAATTGATGTAACAATTAATTGAAATTCATATGAAAAACATAATGAATTGCTTTAAACAAATCGCTTATGAAAAATGTTATTATTGTTTGTCTCGTTGTTGTCGTTGTTGTTGTTATCATACATTGTATTGTCATTGATGTGGTCTTCAGACCAAACCGTTACAATTGATCCCGATTTTGACCCCATTGCCGATTCAGACTCGAAGCTAATCATATACATTACGGTCGGCCTGACTGTCGTGTTCATCGGTTTCGTACTGTTGGCCACCGTTTGCTACTTAAAGGCCCCGAAGAAGTCCAACTCACTATTGGAGATCATATCAGTTAATCCCGAATACGAAAAGTTTATCGGTTTGTATTGATTATCACATTAGTATTAATCCCACATATCCTGTACCTCAACACCCATATCACACGACTTAATGATAATCTAATGTTATATTGTTTGTCACCATTAGTTGATCCGGAATACGAGGTGAACTCAAAGGACTTGAAGACATTCCAAGTGCTCGGCGACGGAGCGTTCGGACGGGTATACTATGGAGAGCTGCGGACAAACAATAAGGTCATCAAATGCGCGGTCAAAACGTTAACGTCGGCCAAAGGGGCCCAACAGAGGGAGTCGTTTCTCAAAGAGGCCAATATTATGAAGTAATTTACATTGTTTTTTAGTGTTTTGCTAATTATCTTGGTACTAATTAATTGTTTGTTTGTGATGTACAGGGCTTTCGTCAACTGCCACCACATCGTCAAACTGATTGGCATCGTATCGGTGGAGAACCCGGTGCTCGTACTCATGGAATATATGGTGAACGGCGACCTCAAGAACTATTTGCGTCTGAATCGACCCGACAGTGATGTATGTGTGAAGCACTTGTGTTTTACCCTCATGTTTATGCATTGAACGCAGAAATTAATTGTATTATTTGTTTGTTATGTATATTTTTAGGAGAACCCGAACCCACGGGTGCCCACCATTAGTCGCATATTTCAGATGGCGATCGAGATTGCGGACGGCATGGCATACTTGGCCGCCCGCAAGTTTGTTCACCGAGATCTGGCCGCACGTAACTGTATGGTGGCCGAGGATTTGACAGTTAAAATTGGCGACTTTGGCATGACCAGGGACATTTATGATGCCGATTATTACAGGTAAAATGCGCTCCCCCCATGGTTAAACTTACGCTCAATTAACCTTGATGTTTATTTCTCTACCATAAGGAAAATGAACAATTGTCTAATACCTGTGCGCTGGATGTCTCCCGAGTCGCTGAAGGACGGCCTGTTCACCACCTATTCAGACATCTGGGCCTACGGTGTGGTGCTCTGCGAGATCGTTACGCTCGGCGCCCAACCCTATCAGGGCTACAGCAATGAGTTGGTGCTTAAGAACGTGATCAAAGGCATGCGCCTCCCGGAGCCCGAGAACTGCCCCCGAAAGCTGTTAGTAGTCTTGTATATCAATTGTCTGTTCTGTCCGGTGATAATGATTATATCTTTTTATGTCCACTCAGTTGGCGAATAATGCAATTCTGTTGGCGCCGACACCCGAAGGCCAGGCCGTCGTTCACGGAGATCACGGAATACCTGCTGCCGCTGTCGAACCAGTCGTTCAAAGAGAAGTGCTATTACCTGAACAACAGCACCACTAAGACGTTTGGCAGCAGTGGTGTGAAGCGGCCCAAGAAGTCGTGGTACGCGTGGATGACCACCAATCGGCTGATACTCAACGATCTGAAACCGGGCGCAGAGATCGTCGACGACACCACACAATACTGCCCAATGAGTCCAGTGATGGACGACAGCGGCGGTGGCGATGATGACGACAACCAGAGGGACAGCGGTTTGGTCGCCGATATGCGGACAACCGGTGACGAGCTGTCGGAACAACACATTAAGTTTCTCAACAAATTGAACGAAGAGAAGACTCTGGAGGTCGACGTGTCGGACGACTCGATGAACAAACTGGTGGTTATCTGCGATGACAATCACCGGCGGCCACACAATGGCGCCAATAATAACAATTATGTTGTCCGCCATAATCGGGACCCGAAACTGATTGTCTGATTGATTGGGAGGAAAAGTTTTTTTTAATTTTTTTTCTCTCTATGGATCTCTTTATGTGATTATCACAGCGAAAATCAGACATTTTTCCTCTTTGTTTGCCATAAATATATGTCCCGAAGTATGTATTCTTCGAGATGTAGTCTATTATTGAGTTTTTTATTGTAATTCCTATTGAATGCTAAGTCCGCCGAAGACTTTACGGTCCAATACAAGTAATCTCAGCCACTAATCAGATCTTATATATTATATTCTGTACGTATATATGGTATAAAATATGGTTAAAAGTCATAAAATGTCATACATGTGGACAAAACATTTGGATGGCCAGACAGACCAGTCTTACCTATACCTCCGTCGCCTTATATATAATCATCACTTTTTTGGATGAGTTTCTTCTCGTCTATAATATTGTCTCACATTTTATGTGAATATTGTTTTTTGTCAAAGAGTTTTATCGCCTTTTTCTACCTATTATTACATTAATTGTTTGAATCAACAAATGATTGTTAGATTTGGTTTTGTATTAACTTAATTGCATTCTCTCTCTCTCTCTCTCTCTCTCTCTCTCTCTCCATGAAATGCATTGAGAAATCTATTGTTAATTAAACTTTTTTATATTGTTTTTGGTCACAAAATATGTATTTTGTGGATAAATTGCGGATCAATTTTTTGTGTGTACTTTATATCGATGTTCACTATAAACATAATACACATATCGTTTGTGATAAATATTTTTTGTTCACTATATAAATAAAAATCAAAACACATAAATATAAATACGATAATTATTATAATTTACAAAATTCTAACCATTATATAATTGAAACATAATTTAAAACATAACTTTTTCCAATTGAATTATCAGAAACAGTACAGACGTAAGTGAAGTAATATATTTCTATGAGAGACTCAAAGTTGTGATAACTTGAAAAGTTCATATCCCATTTTGACAAACTATATACCAAATTGTTTGGAATAACTCTCTCTCTCTCTCTCTCCATGAAATGCATTGAGAAATCTATTGTTAATTAAACTTTTTTATATTGTTTTTGGTCACAAAATATGTATTTTGTGGATAAATTGCGGATCAATTTTTTTGTGTGTACTTTATATCGATGTTCACTATAAACATAATACACATATCGTTTGTGATAAATATTTTTTGTTCACTATATATATAAAAATCAAAAACACATAAATATAAATACGATAATTATTATAATTTACAAAAATTCTACCCAATATATAATGAAACATAATTTAAAACATAACTTTTTCTAATTGTATATTTGTTTGCCATTTGATTATTGAATAAAACAAAACACAAAAACATTAATGTAATTTAAATACATAATTAATTGCATAATTATAATCCCGGTGGTAATCAGTCATTATATAAAGGCATACATACATAGTGTACACCATAAGTCTTAAGCCCCATAAACCTGTGGTTCACTATAACGAGTGCATGCATTATATAATATTGTTAATTATAGCATAACATTACATAACTATTATATTATTAATTAATACACTATTGAAAGCTGTTGTGAAGCACTCATAAGTATAATACACAACATATTTATACAACAAAACAAATATAAATGTTTTTTATTTCTGTTGCCATAAATAATATTATAAATTGTGTTTTGTTTTGTGCGTCAAATTCAATGCATTATTTTTAATATCATTATCGAAATAACAATTATATTAAATATATTTAAAATATACTAGATGATTTGTTCATTTTAGGCATCGAGAACTTATCCAGTTTGTTTGAAATGGAAAATTATAAATATATTTTATTAATTATCGTAAAGACAATTGTAAATAATTTTATTATTATATGAAGTAACTATTATAAATGTGTTTAAAGAATAAATTTAATAAACAAAACCTTTTTTGACCAATTAGTAAACAGTATTAAAACAGAATTATTATACTTTTGTTGTTATGTTAAATTAACAGTACTTTTATATTTTCAATAGACTTTACATCAACTAATGTTAAAATATATGAATATTAAAACTCATTTATCATCGAGGTAACCATGTAGTTAAGGATACCATAATCGTATTAAGTTATGCTATAACCCTCTAGTTATCTAGTTAAATATTAATATTTATAGTAAGAAATATTGATAGTATTAATAACTTAATAAGTTCGTAAAAACCTTTTGTGTTTCCATTGGTTTTCACTGATTATAACAGTTTCTATCAAAGTTTGGCTCAAGAATTCAAGTGTCATTAACGACACAATTATATTATATAAACATAGTAACACCTAAACAATTAAAATTTATTTTGCAATTGAGTTTTACTATAAGTTAATAAATTAATAATGATAATTTTTAAAATTGTTTAATAAATATTAATGAAATAATTGATTATTCTATAAATAATAATTTATACTTGTGCAAAAATGTGTGATTTATTGGAAAAGTTCAAATTTTATGATAAAATTCCTATAGATGTTAGAGAAAAGATCGCAAAATTACACGTGTTCTGCAATTATCGGACTATAAACTTAACGCTAGAGTCATCTGTATTTATTGTGACCACCGATGATATGGTCTATGGTTTTGGTTATAATAACTATGGATGTCTAGGATTAAGCAGCTTATGGCCTATACCATCACCAGAACTGATTCCACAATTATGTCATCTAAACATACAATACTTTGTCAATGGAAGAGATTTTGTGTTAGCAGTGAATGATAGGAAAGATATTTATGGTTGGGGTAATAATAGTTGGGCACAATTGACCCGAATCGGTCAAAATGATGTACATTTTTTTAAACGTATGTCTGGTTATGCGTCGTCAGTGAAACCAGAGATGATATCATATTTTAAAAATACAAATATTGAACAAATCAGTTGTGGTATTGATCACACTCTGGCCCTCACCTGTGATGGCCGGGTGTATGCCTGGGGTGCCAATAGTTTGGGCCAATCTGGTAGTGGAGATAATCGCAGTTGTATTTGTACACCAATTGAGTTACAATTTAATAGTGATTGTAAAATAAAATCTATATATTGCTATCATGATTTTTCATTTGCCATCACAACCGATGGACATGTATTCAGTTGGGGCGACAATAGATACGATCAATTGGGACACAATATAATCAATAGGATTATATATAAACCCCGATTGATATCAACCATAAGTGATGTAAAAACAATCATTTGCTCAAAATTTGGTACATATTTTCACACAACAAATGGATTATATTTTTGTGGAAAATATTATGAAAATGATAAACAATTAATTGAAAAAACTCCGAAACAGATACTATTAGATAATAACATTCAAAGATTACCACAAATTAATTCATTCATTGATAATAACAAAATTGAATTTATTTGTGTTTTAATAAATAATAAAATATATAAAATATCAAATGAAAACAAAATTATTGAACAAAATTACAGTAATTTTATTGACTTTTATGCTAATGAATGCCAAATCACTTATAATACAATTGATTTGAAAAGAATAACAGGTAAAACTTTAGGTATACCAACATCAATTAAAAGTGAAATTACAGCTGTTACTAAAAATGGTGTAAAAATAAATGATAATTCAGGTGATGGCAATTATAACAAGCAATTTATTGAGATGTCAGCCATAGGTTCGGGCGGTTTTGGGACTGTATTTAAAGTAAAGCATAGATTGGATGATAAGATATATGCCGTTAAGAAACTCCAATTTGGGGGTAAATATAATTATTTGTTTTAAATAATATATAAAATTAAATAAATTTTTTATAAAATATGTTCATTATGTTAGATTTGACAGTTGATAAAAAACAAAAAGTTGCAAAAGAAGTGAAAAGTTTGGCAAAACTGGACTCAAATTTTGTGGTCAAATATTACGACTCATGGCTTGAGTCCAATCATCTCTACATTCAGATGGAGTTTTGTCCTCAAAGTCTTAAATTACTTCTCAGAGACAAAACCATTGTCTTCGGGAGACAACCGGAAGACGAGATGAATGTCTTCGAGTATTTCATTTCATGTGAAATATTCAAAGAGATCTTAGAGTGCGTCCAATATCTCCATGAATTAGATCCACCGGTCATTCATCGGGATCTCAAACCCGACAATATATTAATTAATCCCAAGTGTAGGTCTAATCGGTTTGTAAAACTGTGTGACTTTGGTTTGGCCACCGATCACGACATCGACGGACAAATTGCCAGCCGATACGAGCACTCAGTTGTGGGCACAACACGATATATCGCACCCGAAGTATATTCCCGTAAATATAGCCATAAATCAGACATTTATAGCCTTCATATAATCGGTGAACAGTTGTTTGGTGTCGATCTCCAGACGTAAGTATTTTATCAATACTTTAAAAGAATATTTATTATATAATAATTATGTAATCATAAATTAATTATAAATATTATGTATTTTATAGCTCGGAATCATTTGATGCTAAACAATCACCGGTCAGTACATCCATACTATGTCTATACCAGACATTAGTGGCAATGATGTCAACACCCAATTGGAAGCAAAGGCCTGAGTGTCGGGAAGTGTTGGCCAAACATAACGAGTGGTCTATCGATAAAACCGTTGTCTCAAATCATGAAGAATTTAATTCAGTGTTAAATACTCTTAAAACTAATGTTAATTCAGTTTTCTATGAGATTTTGTTTCGTAAAACACAATAATATTGTATATTAAAATCATTTCCTACATTTGGTTTAGAAATCCACATAATACAATAAAACATGAACTGGGTGGACTTGGAAAATTTGGCCATTTAGTTCACACAAATCATTATGAACCAAAATTATACTTAATACATAAATGTTGCTTTAATTTACAAATTTTAAGTGTATTAAGAGAAATTGTCGTAATTTTCTGCTATTTTAATCGTTTATTGAATGTAAACAACTTATTAGCCGTTTTGGGTACGAAATTATTTAGTGCTGTCATTTATATTTGGCTATATGTTTGCTATTTTGTGTGGTTCACACAACTCATTGTGAAATGCATTGAATGCCACATAAATTTAGCTACAATTTGTTCACACAGATCATTAGTTCACACAATTCATGTTCACAAAAATCATGTATATTTAACATTATGTCTATGAGAGACTAGTTTATGTTTTGAGATTTGGTTCATACAAATGCTTAGTTCACACAACTCATGGTTCACCCAGTTCATGTTTCACTGTAATAAAGTTTTTAATACTAAATAATTTGTAACTTTACATATGATTACTGGAATGCCATTGTAATCCTTAATTTTTTTTAAATCTAACAATTTTTTAAGTTACCTAAATGGTCGCAAATCTAATCCCTAAGTCCCTAATCATTGACATTTTTATAAATGGTTTTATTTCGATTTTATTTAATCTGTTTCTACAATAAATAATTGTAAAAATGTACTGCTAATACAAAGTGAGACATTATTATTGAATTAGACTGTATGCCACGTTTCTATTGAAAAAATATTAGTTTTAATATGAAATACAATAATATTATATACTTTAATCAATAATAACTAAAACATAATTAAGAATTGTTTTATTATCAGATGTTATACTACAGTGATATACCGTACTGTACATTGCAATGTACCAATAACAGGCTAATGAAAATATCAATATAGAGTACACACTGTATGTAACAATGTATACAGTGTAATTTCTCTATAAGGAACGGCCAGTTGTAGTCGAAAAGTGTTTTTTAAAGGGAAGGTTTATTACATTACAAGTATAGGAAATCCAACACATATTGCAATTTAGTTTTATAAGGAGGGCATCCCTCAAGAGAAGTTGCCCTAAGAGAGGGTACACTGTATTAAAGTGGACAACAATATTTTGATCGACAAATGGTACATAAGAGTACTTTGATATTTTTATAACGGTATTTAATTTGGTATTATATAAATTAATATCTAAACTTATAAAATGATATTTATCTTATTTCTACAATGTATCTGTAGTATATTAATGACAATTTCAATCAATAACATACAATTACATGTATAATTAATGTAAAGTTATAATAAATTATTGTAGAGTTAGCGTAGATCTTACAAGAATATAATCATAAATAGATTAAAAGTCTTATAAATATGTTCACCAAATGTATTGAAAGATTAATTTTTAAACCATTAATAAAATACACAATTTTATTGCTATTTATGTATCAATTATGTGACGAAACCGTCAATTATTTACGGTATGAAGTGATCAACGAATTAGTGATCGACCAAAACGGCCGGTCAGTGCTATTCATGCCATCGATTACTATATGCTTTGACAGCAAATACTTTGATAAATACAATGAAAGTGTATATCAAGTGTTGAATCGAGGAGTCATTCAATGCGATCTACAAAAAAAATAACGGCGTTCTCCGCAAATGCGACCAACTGTTCCCGCCGTACGCCCGACACAAGTGTATGCGTCACTCAATTATACGGTCGGATCAATGAGTCAGCCATTGATAAGTATTATGCTTTTTATGTGCGTATATTTGACATGGATCATGTTCAATTTGCAATCACCGCTTTTAATGTATTATCTACTTTTACAAAAATGGCATTAATTAGTAAGCAAAGAAATAATTATGTGGTCACTATCAATGTTATACTACAGACATTACTTCCCCGTCCCTATCGTACGGCGTGTTATGATTACGGGTCTAATGATAGACGAGATGACAGATCGGCGCCCGAATCGCGCACTAAATGTATGGTTGAAGTGATGGCACGGATGGAGAGGAAAGAGTGCGAACACAACCACTACTGGAGTTACCATTTGGTGACTAATACTAGTCGTTACACTTTAAGGGCTAAAACCGGAACCAATTGTATCGTTAGACCCGACTATCGGCGTTTACACCGCGAGTGTCCCATAGATTGTCGCACACATATCGTAGACATTGGAGGGACATATGGGGGACAATTAATAGGACAAAAATTTCTTGAAATACTTTCTTATAAGATTAAGTTAAGTATGAATTGAAAATTCAATCCCAAAATAGACACCATCGCATACTTGTCGTCAATCGGGGGTCTAATGGGAATGTATACCGGACTCAGTGTTCACTCGGCTATCGATCACGTATTGGCCAATTGTGTGTATTTCTGGCGCCGATTCATACAAAAAGCCAGATTCAAAACCAATTATAAAATCAGACGATATCTCAAATATGCAAATCTGGTTCCACTCGTTGTTTGCATCGGTTTAATGTGTGCACAAATCATAGACTTATATAACACTTACACCGAGTCTAACACTAAAATCAGTATAACTCCGGACATAATCAGAAGAATTCCCGTAATTTCTGTGAATATCTATTTGGATAGATATAAAAAATACATTATAAATGGAAAATATATTAAGGATTTTGATCAGCAATTTGTGTCCATTTTGTCGGCCAATCGGTTGGACGCGTTTCGCCGTCACGTCTATGACTATAACCGGTCTCTCATCGAGTTTTACGTGGAGTTCACATCCGGACAACGGGTTGACTGTCCGGCGCCTATAGTGTCTCTCCATTTATATTATGTACCGAATCGGCAATTATTGAGTGTAGAAGTGATAAACAGATTTTCCGTGAGTCAGGACCGAGAGTTCCGGCGCCAGATCTTAACCGTAGTTAACACAACCGGTGGTCCGGTATTAATGAAACGATTGGCCATTAAATACCGCAACGATAACGTATGGGCTATAAAAGCATACCTGAGCGGATCGGAAGCATTCAGAGTTATGACAGTACCGGTTGGCGCCGACACTCACATCATAATATGATGTATATATCATAATATAATATCATAATATAATCATAATATTATTTTGGTATACACGATATGATATATAACATCGGGGGCACAATAGGCATGTGGATCGGCGTGTCTATGATCTCATTCACTAGTATTCACACAACCTTTTACTTATTTGTTAAGTGGATATCAAAACACATTTTAAAGTTTACGCAAACAGAATGAAATTAAGTCTAAGAAGGAAATACAGTGAACATCACCTAGCTGATCCAGTCGTGGTTGATATGGTCATGTCCAGTATTGTATGGAGATTCATAAACAATCTTCAAAACGGGCGAATGGCCAGAATCACCAAAGTTATGGCCATATTTCTAGCTATTTGCATACGTCTTATAGCACTAAAGTTTTGGTGAATGGCATTACTCATGTGAAAAGCCCATTTTCAATGCATTCAGTCCTATGCAAATAGCTAGAAATATGG